TTTCTTAATAGCTTGATAAGAATAATTTCACTTGGAATATTTTGAATAATGATAATGGCTTAACGCATGGTTATGTATTTCTAGTTTTCCAACTCGTTCGTCGTGCTGCCAGTTACTGAAATGGATTTGGTTGGCTCAGATCATTGTGAGGATCAGAACCCGGATGTCGATATCAGTACAAGTAGCAATAGGATGTCTGAACCTGCAGAGATCATCATTGAATATGAGCACACCTTCACAAGTACCGATGCCAAAATTGGACATTCTACTCCTAAGCGGAAAAGGTTATGAATTGTTTATACATTAGAGTACCTATGTTTTGGAAAATCATTTTCAGATGGCAGGAACTGAATCTTCGTTTCTTCAGTTTTTAGCTAACACTCATTTGTAGTGCTTGGTTCACTAACAGTAATTTGTTTTTTTCTTGCAGGAATGAATCTATGAGTGCTGCAGTTAGAGATGGAGGGCTGAAGAGACTGACAAGTCCTCAATCAGACAACTGTGATGTCTTGTCAATATCTTCAACTACAGTGACAGCATCTGAATGCAATATAAGGTATTGCTGTTATTCATTCAAGTTCTGATGCACATTAAAGACCTTATATGTTGAATTCCAGCTACTTTGATAGTTCCCAGGTCATTGAATGAATGACAAAATTGTATTGTTAATAGTTTTGTTTCCATTTTACTGCTTTGTTGACCAAACAACACTATTCATGAGAAGTTATGCGGCTGAAGTTCCGATCGATCACGCTCTGATCGAAACGGTAAAAAGGCAGCAGTGACGAAATTTTGCCATTACCACTTCTACTGACGTAATTTAGGTCCAAATAAACATAAATCGATGCGGTTTTCACGTAGTTCGATTGTATTACGGGCTTTCTATGTACTGTAAGAGTTTTATCTCCCTCCTCCAAAATCTTCCTCAAAGTGAGGAGAAACGCGAAAAATTGATATTACATTAAAATAAACCTGGAGAAATGCGGTTTTCACGTCAATTGATTAGAAAAAGCATATTTTACTTACGCTAAGTTCAAATCCGTGCTATCTCGTTCACAGATACCGCAAATTGACCCCCCTTTAAAACCTAATATTTTAGAAGCTATATAATCATCTATAGCTTTTCAAAACCGCCCAAGACCAAAATGTTTTGGACACTTCTCGCATGTATATGATCTAGTCAATCACACCACATCAGCCGTTTCCCCAAAGCAAGTCCGGAACCCTCCGTTTTTGACCCCTCTTTATTTATACATGACAAATTTGAAAAAATCTATTATTCGTCAAAACAGCCGAAGACCCAAAATTTTTTTACATTTCTGGCATCAATATAATCTACCTCATCACTCCCTACTAGCCGTTTCCCCAAACCAAGTCCGGAACACTCCGTTTTTGACCCCTCTTTATTTATACATGACAAATTTGAAAAAATCTATTATTCGTCAAAACAGCCGAAGACCCAATATTTTTTTACATTTCTGGCATCAATATAATCTACCTTATCACTCCCTATTAGCCGTTCCTCCCAAACCAAGTCCGGAACCCTCCGTTTTTGACCCCTCTTTATTTATACATGACAAATTTGAAAAATCTATTATTCGTCAAAACAGCCGAAGACCCAAAATTTTTTTACATTTCTGGCATCAATATAATCTACCTTATCACTCCCTATTAGCCGTTTCCCCAAACCAAGTCCGGAACCCTCCGTTTTTGACCCCTCTTTATTTATACATGACAAATTTGAAAAAATCTATTATTCGTCAAAACAGCCGAAGACCCAAATTTTTTTACATTTCTGGCATCAGTATAATCCACTTTATCACTCCCTACTAGCCGTTTCCCCAAACCAAGTCCGGAACCCTCCGTTTTTGACCCCTCTTTATTTATACATGACAAATTTGAAAAAATCTATTATTCGTCAAAACAGCCGAAGACCCAAAATTTTTTTACATTTCTGGCATCAGTATAATCCACTTTATCACTCCCTACTAGCCGTTTCTCCCCAAACCAAGTCCGGAACCCTCCGTTTTGACCCCTCTTTATTTATACATGAGAAATCTGAAAAAATCTATTATTCCTCAAAACAGCCGAAGACCCAAAATTTTTTTACATTTCTGGCATCAGTATAATCCACTTTATCACTCCCTACTAGCCGTTTCCCAAACCAAGTCCGGAACCCTCCGTTTTTGACCCCTCTTTATTTATACATGAGAAATCTGAAAAAATCTATTATTCCTCAAAACAGCCGAAGACCCAAAATTTTTTTACATTTCTGGCATCAATATAATCTACCTTATCACTCCCTAGTAGCCGTTGCCCCAAACCAAGTCCGGAACCCTCCGTTTTTGACCCCTCTTTATTTATACATGACACATCTGAAAAAATCTATTATTCGTCAAAACAGCCGAAGACCCAAAATTTTTTTACATTTCTGGCATCAATATAATCTACCTTATCACTCCCTACTAGCCGTTTGCCCAAACCAAGTCCGGAACCCTCCGTTTTTGACCCCTCTTTATTTATACATGACAAATTTGAAAAAATCTATTATTCGTCAAAACAGCCGAAGACCCAAAATTTTTTTACATTTCTGGCATCAGTATAATCCACTTTATCACTCCCTACTAGCCGTTGCCCCAAACCAAGTCCGGAACCCTCCGTTTTTGACCCCTCTTTATTTATACATGAGAAATTTGAAAAAATCTAGTATTCGTCAAAACAGCCGAAGACCCAAATTTTTTTTACATTTCTGGCATCAGTATAATCCACTTTATCACTCCCTACTAGCCGTTTCCCCAAACCAAGTCCGGAACCCTCCGTTTTTGACCCCTCTTTATTTATACATGAGAAATTTGAAAAAATCTATTATTCGTCAAAACAGCCGAGACCCAAATTTTTTTACATTTCTGGCATCAATATAATCTACCTTATCACTCCCTATAGCCGTTTCCCCAAACCAAGTCCGGAACCCTCCGTTTTGACCCCTCTTTATTTATACATGAGAAATTTGAAAAAATCTATTATTCGTCAAAACAGCCGAAGACCCAAAATTTTTTTACATTTCTGGCATCAATATAATCTACCTTATCACTCCCTATTAGCCGTTTCCCCAAACCAAGTCCGGAACCCTCCGTTTTAGACCCCTCTTTATTTATACATGACAAATTTGAAAAAATCTATTATTCGTCAAAACAGCCGAAGACCCAAAATTTTTTTACATTTTCTGGCATCAGTATAATCCACTTTATCACTCCCTACTAGCCGTTTCCCCAAACCAAGTCCGGAACCCTCCGTTTTTGACCCCTCTTTATTTATACATGACAAATTTGAAAAATCTATTATTCGTCAAAACAGCCGAAGACCCAAAATTTTTTTACATTTCTGGCATCAATATAATCTACCTTATCACTCCCTACTAGCCGTTTCCCCAAACCAAGTCCGGAACCCTCCGTTTTTGACCCCTCTTTATTTATACATGACAAATTTGAAAAAATCTATTATTCGTCAAACAGCCGAAGACCCAAAATTTTTTTACATTTCTGGCATCAGTATAATCCACTTTATCACTCCCTACTAGCCGTTTCCCCAAACCAAGTCCGGAACCCTCCGTTTTTGACCCCTCTTTATTTATACATGACAAATTTGAAAAAATCTATTATTCGTCAAAACAGCCGAAGACCCAAAATTTTTTTACATTTCTGGCATCAGTATAATCCACTTTATCACTCCCTACTAGCCGTTTCCCCAACCAAGTCCGGAACCCTCCGTTTTTGACCCCTCTTTATTTATACATGACAAATTTGAAAAATCTATTATTCGTCAAAACAGCCGAAGACCCAAAATTTTTTTACATTTCTGGCATCAATATAATCTACCTTATCACTCCCTATTAGCCGTTTCCCCAAACCAAGTCCGGAACCCTCCGTTTTTGACCCCTCTTTATTTATACATGACAAATTTGAAAAAATCTATTATTCGTCAAAACAGCCGAAGACCCAAAATTTTTTACATTTCTGGCATCAGTATAATCCACTTTATCACTCCCTACTAGCCGTTTCCCCAAACCAAGTCCGGAACCCTCCGTTTTTGACCCCTCTTTATTTATACATGACAAATTTGAAAAAATCTATTATTCGTCAAAACACCTGAAGACCCAAAATTTTTTTACATTTCTGGCATCAGTATAATCCACTTTATCACTCCCTACTAGCCGTTTCCCCAAACCAAGTCCGGAACCCTCCGTTTTTGACCCCTCTTTATTTATACATGACAAATTTGAAAAAATCTATTATTCATCAAAACAGCCGAAGACCCAAAATTTTTTTACATTTCTGGCATCAGTATAATCCACTTTATCACTCCCTACTAGCCGTTTCCCTAAACCAAGTCCGGAACCCTCCGTTTTTGACCCCTCTTTATTTATACATGAGAAATTTGAAAAAATCTATTATTCGTCAAAACAGCCGAAGACCCAAAATTTTTTTACATTTCTGGCATCAATATAATCTACCTTATCACTCCCTATTAGCCGTTTCCCCAAACCAAGTCCGGAACCCTCCGTTTTTGACCCCTCTTTATTTATACATGACAAATTTGAAAAAATCTATTATTCGTCAAAACAGCCGAAGACCCAAAAGTTTTTTACATTTCTGGCATCAGTATAATCCACTTCATCACTCCCTACTAGCCGTTTCCCCAAACCAAGTCCGGAACCCTCCGTTTTGACCCCTCTTTATTTATACATGACAAATTTGAAAAAATCTATTATTCGTCAAAACAGCCGAAGACCCAAAATTTTTTTACATTTCTGGCATCAGTATAATCCACTTTATCGCTCCCTACTAGCCGTTTCCCCAAACCAAGTCCGGAACCCTCCTTTTTTTACCTTTCTTTATCTATACATGAGAAATTTGAAAAATCTATTATTCGTCAAAACAGCCGAAGACCCAAAATTTTTTTACATTTCTGGCATCAATATAATCTACCTTATCACTCCCTACTAGCCGTTTCCCCAAACCAAGTCCGGAACCCTCCGTTTTTGACCCCTCTTTATTTATACATGACAAATTTAAAAAATCTATTATTCGTCAAAACAGCCGAAGACCCTAATTTTTTTTACATTTCTGTCATCAGTATAATCCACTTTATCACTCCCTACTAGCCGTTTCCCCAAACCAAGTCCGGAACCCTCCGTTTTTTACCTTTCTTTATCTATACATGAGAAATTTGAAAAATCTATTATTCGTCAAAACAGCCGAAGACCCAAAATTTTTTTACATTTCTGGCATCAATATAATCTACCTTATCACTCCCTACTAGCCGTTTCCCCAAACCAAGTCCGGAACCCTCCGTTTTTGACCCCTCTTTATTTATACATTAGAAATTTGAAAAAATCTATTATTCGTCAAAACAGCAGAAGACCCAAAATTTTTTTACATTTCTGTCATCAATATAATCTACCTCATTACTCCCTACTAGCCGTTTCCCCAAACCAAGTCCGGAACACTCCGTTTTTGACCCCTCTTTATTTATACATGAGAAATTTGAAAAATCTATTATTCGTCAAAACAGCCGAAGACCCAAA